TTGCCCTAGAGAAGTCTCTTGGCAAAACAGATCTGAATGCCTGGGGTCACGGGAAGGACTTCTTGGAGCACAAAAGCTGCTTTGTTGATTGACCTGCTTGCGGTGCTCTGTGTATCTGATCTTGTGCTTTAAAATCCTTTGTATATACATGTAACTCAAGGCTGTTTGGTCTCATTTGATAATTTAGGTGGCAAATTAAGATCTAAAAAGAGTTTGATGAGAAATCAGCCGTTTACAGAGAGCTCCTTCCCGCTGACAGATGGCTGCATCTTTCAGGCCCAGGGTTCTCGGGGAACAAATAAATCACTGTTTGTCTTGGAGGAGCTCTCCAGCAAATGGGGAAAAAAAAAAAAAAAAAAAAAAAGAAGAGTAGATAAATGAGTCTCTAACGAGAATGGAGGTTAATCCCATGGAAAATGCTGGGAAATGTAATATTTTTTTTTTCTACATCCTTTTTTTAATTCCTGAGTGCTACATCATTGCATCCTACTGGTGGCTGTGTTTGGAGGAAGGATGAAGTGATCCCTCTGAGCAGGGGAAACCAAGCACAGTGATATCAAGTATAATTAATCTCAGTGGCAGTCCTCTCTTACTCATTTATTTTTTTACAATAAAGCCAATTCTTAACACAATTGAAAACTTCCATGTCTTTTAGAGGTTCTTAAACGTTAATCGTCAGGGGATGCATACTGAGTACTGGATTATGTTGTAGCCGTACTTTGCAGCCCGTGGACTCTCAAAAAGAAAGCGTGTGCTTGTGCGAGGCACGTGGCAGGGGCAGTTGGAAGCCAGTTGCTCCAGTTTTAGCTTTAGTGCGTTCTGATAGAATAATTATCTGTATCAAACTTACCTACCAATTTTACTTGCTTTCCGAGTGCATATGATATTAAAACAAGGCACCAACCTTGTGTCAATATTGCACGTAACCTCTAAAGAGGAGGTTTTCTTGTGTGCTAATTCGTATAATTACTGGTTTTCTAATGAGTTGGTTTTTTTTTTTTTTTGGCAGCTGCAAATTTGCAAACTTTTCCAATAAGCAGGAAATGTGTCATTTCAGAGGTCGAGCCCAACAAGTCATGTCGCTGAGACCATGAGAAGCCCCTTGGTGGGTGTAATGCCTGTTTCTGAGATGTGTGAGGTTAAAATGATTGGAATAATACTTTTAATTGCTCTGTAATTAAGGTCCATCGGGAGAAGCAGTAGGGACCAGCAGATATTTTTATAAGGCTAACTTATCCCATCTGACATGAGCCTGGACAGACTGTTAACGCTCTGTGGGAAGCTCTTCATGGAGAAAGCTGTGGATCTGAAAATAATTCAAAGCAAAAGTGAAAGAAGAATTAAACCAAGCTCAGAGGGGCTGTGTGTTATCTGCTTTTGCTTTATCTCATTGTTCAAAGCATAAATCTACAGAGCGCTGAGCATCTTGTATTCCCATATTTGGGTTTAAAATGGAAACGGGATTAGATGTATGTTATTTATATGAACGATACCTTCTTACTCAGCAGATTGACTGTCTGTGTTTATTCAGTGTCACATCTGCTGGCTCTACT